TCCCTCTCCTTCCCTGCCTCGCCTCCCCCTTCCTTATCCTCTTCCTCCCCTCTCCCCTTGCCCTTCCTCTCTCCCTCTTGTCCCTGCTTTCCTCCCCCACCTCTCTCTTCTGACCGTTCTCCCCCGCCCAATCCCCTCTCCCTCTACCCCCTCTTTCTCTCGATTTCTTTTCCTTGATCCATCTATCTCATTACTTTTTTCTTATTCCTTTCTCGCCATTCTTTGCAGGTCTGCGAACGAGAAACTTTGTAGGTGCAACATACTTCGAATAAGACTTTTCGACTTTGCTGAAATACGAAAATGGCAATCTGGAATTTTAAATTAGACTGCGCCTCGACATTAGTCCACCTTGGAAAGTATTTCATGCGAAAATGTCACGTCGTTAATGTGCTGCGGATAGTTCCGATTGCATCTTTCCTTACTTTCAGAGTAAAGCGCAGTTACGAATTTCGTTCTCTGATTTATCCTTGTCAAACGGACATTTTGTGCTTTGTTTTCTCACTAAAATGGAAAATGAATTACAAATTATAAACCATTTTATTTTGTATCTTTTATCAAATTATAAAAAATATTGATAAAATGTTTGAACAGGGCAATCGAATATTCACAATAAACATGTCTTATATTTATTGGGTCATCTAAAAAGTATCCGCGGTTTTTTGTCACTAGATATGCGTTGATGGTCATATATCTAGTGACAAAGTACCGCGGATACTTTTTAGATGACCCAATATTTCATATTTCTTAATACACCTTATATACATATATCTACCACATTTTTTATATTACGGACCGAAATTTTATTTTAAATATTGACCTGAGGGCTTATTACGGTTCTTGAAACGAGATAAAAATTAAGAAGTGACTGAATTTACTAGAATATTTATAATGTCATTGGTCATCTAGTGAGTTTGTTCATTTTTGTAATTTTTACTTTATAAAGAACCGTAATAAGCTCCCTGAAGTGAAATATATGTCCACTAAATTATTTTCAGGGATTGGAAAGTTATTTTTTAAAAGTATAATAAGTTAGGGCTCCACACAATAAAAGGAATAGGGAAGAGAGAATAAGAATTTCAACCTATCAGAAATCATGTAATGGAATACATAGTTTCTGATAGGTTGAAATTCTTATTCTTATTCTTTGTTCTCTGTTCTTTTTATTGTGCGGAGCCTCTTACTAAGTAGAAAAAGTAACAAGTTACTAGTTACCGACTTTTAAAGATAACTCGTTAGTAACAGTTACCGTTACTTGAAAAAGTAACTTCATTACTTTTCGTTACATTTTTAGAATCGACGACCACCAATTACAACGGACGGGCCTAGGGACTTTCTAGTTTTAAGCACTATGAGTGGCTTGTGTCCAATCGTATTTAATATTGGGTCATCTAAAAAGTATCCACGGTACTTTGTCATTAGATATATGACCATCAATACACATCTAGTGACAAAAAACCGCGGATACTTTTTAGATGACCCAATATATGGCTGCGGCACAGACTCTTGCATAATGCATAATGCGAATCAACTAATCTTTTCTTTTATCTTATTCCATAAAAAAAAAAGAATTTTTATTGGTTGATTCTCTTATGCACTATGCATTATATGTTATGCGACAGTCTATGCTGTGGCCATAAATGTGCAGAGTAACGATAAAAGTAATTGTAAAATTTATTACTGTTATCAAAAAAATGTAACTTTGTTACCGTTAGTTACTAAAGAAAAAAAGCCATTACCAGTAAAGTTACCAAAAAAGTAACGTGTAACTGTAACTTCGTTACAAGTAATGAATTACTTCCATTTCCTAATTATTTTAGGACCTGTAACTACATAGTTATGTAATTTTTGATAACGTTTATCTAACAACAATCTTCCATCTCCAAATCGACATTAAGAAGTTCCTAAAACGAAACTCGAACTCCGACGAAGTCGCCAGAAGTCGCGCCGCATATCGATATGTCTTTATATTGTATATCAATACATCGATATCTCACGCAACCTATGATACATGCAGTTATATATTCGTGTTAATTTTCGTATAATAAATTTGTCGCGATAAAACATCTAAGTCTAATTCTAAGAACTCGACATTGTTTGTTCGTGTAAACTACATGGGAATCACTATTTCGTACGTAGGTTGCAAAACTTTCATAGCAAATGTTATCACGACTTGACAGCTGAAACGCCATGTTACACTAATGCTGATTCTACAATAAGTCTGTAGTCGGAAGTCTTAGTCTCAATCGATGAAATTGACCAATCAACGTCGGTTGTACAAGTTGGCTATTGATAACTCACTGATAAGACTTAGGATTACCAACTACCGACTCATTGTAAAATCAGCATAAGAAATGATAAAAAAATATATCAATTTTGAAATTTTTTATTCTCGGAATAAATTCCACTTTCCAGACATGTATTAATGCGTGTATACTTTAATTCTAGAAAAGGATTTTCGAATCAATGAAAGAGAAAAAAAGTATTTATTATACAAAAATTACATGATTTAATCGGTAAAACAAGAAGCTTTAGGATCCCCTTAACAGATATCAATAACATCTTACTGTAAAATGCCAATTGTAAACTGATGAGAATGACTTCAAAAAAAATCAAAGTTATTAAACCCAAAGAGAACAAGAAAATCAAAATAATGTCAATTTGACGTTATATTGGCCGAATTTATGTCATTTTTAGTCATGATAAAAATCTCGATCTCAGACTTTATATATTAGGTGTTGGAATTAATTCGTAGCGTTTTACAAGTGATGGGAAGTACTTTCATTAATGTATTTTTTAATGCTCATGTGAAATAAATAACATTCTTTCATTAAAAACGCTACGAATTAATTCCAACACCTAATATAAAGTCATTCTTAAATCATCTGAGATCAATATGACGTCAAATTAACATTATTTTGATTTTCTTGTTCTCCTTGGGAATAATTTAAATTTTTATTTCCAATTAATTATATAACTGTAGTATTTTATTCGCGCATCAATTATCATATTGTATACTCATATTTACTCATATTTACTGTTTTTCCTTTTAACGTTTCTTATATTTATGTTACCTTTGCACATACATATGATTCGTATTATTAAATTACAACTATATTATACATATATTATTATATTACATATTTTATATTACTATGTCATTAAATGTTTCTACTAATTTATTCAAATAAATATTGATATAATTTATCTCTTTAAGTGTGAATATCGCCACTATAATTTTTATAAATCGCGCTTGCATTATTCCTCGCTTTTTATCGGCCCACATCGCAACTTATTGCAATTCTACGCGAAGTGTGCATTTTAACTTTTTATTTATGCAGTGCTCCGTGACCTGTGGCACCGGAATACGGACGAGGACGATCGAATGCAGAGATGGTGTTGGTGCCATCTCCAGGGACTGCGACCTCGCGGAACGTCCTCATACCGAGCAGGCATGCAAGACGAACGTCGCATGTCCCACATGTAATTGCGTTATCTAAGTTAAACTCGTATTAGATCGAACGAATTTAACATGCTTTAAGCGACGATCTGAAAATTCATGCGTAATTCCCTAAGCAGATTATACAAAATTAGAGGCAAATCTGAAATTTAAGTTTTCTGAGATAATAAGAAGAATCTTGTGTCGTGTAACTAACTTTACTAGAAAATATTTGTTAACATTTCCATTTATTATGTATGATTTATAAAATGAGTTATTTTCAACTCTTTTTCTTACATTTCTTATATTTCAAGACAAATAAATTTTAAATCTTCTGTCTTCGTTTGCGTTCCGCGAATTGGAATATTATTTTGCAGAAATTCTTAACATCGCAATAAAAATTATAAAAATTATAAAAATTTTTATTATTTACAAATATTCTCTTTAAATTATATATACACACATATACATATTTTAAGGAATTATAAAATTTTACATATAACATATTTGTTGCATATAACATATGATATTTGTCATAATTTTAGAAATATTAGTAAACAAATAAGAATTTAGTTTTTTCATAGATGTAATAGATATAGGCTGGGCATTTCCATGAAGTTGTCAGTCATTTTCGGCTGTGTTCTAAAATTCACTGCCAGCAGGGAAGAGATGAATAAGAATGTATTTCTTATTCGTCTCCTCCCAGATTTTTTGAAGTGTCGCGAAATAATTTTCCTTATTAGTCACATTTAAATAAAATTGTAATAAAATTATTAATCAGAATATTTCTGTACTTACATTTAACTTTGGTTTATTGATAATAAAACAAACAATATTTTTACAGAAATAAATATTGAATTATTGTTTAAAATAAAATTTTTAAAAAAGCTTTAAGTACGCTTTGGAGATCGGATCGTTAAATTGTAACATTGGATTCCTAAATCGTACTTGTAATAATAATTAGTTTTTACAAAGAAAGATTTAAATTTTCTTAAAATCCAACAAATAATATTTATAAATAATTTTTAATAAATTATCTTAAAAAGACTCAATACAAATATATTTTTTCTTATGCAAATATCAAAATTACAAAAGTATTATTTAATTATTCAATCTTAATATATTATTTTATTTTAAATTTAGATATAATATAAAAACTAGTGACAAGTATTATTCAGCTATTCAAATTTAATATTATAAAAAAAAAATATGTATATTGTTTTAGCTTAAATGTTAATACAATATAAAGACTAGCAACAAATTTACCCCATTTTCTCTATTTTTACAAATTTGCCAACACAACATAACTTACAAATATTTTGTTAATTTGATCCTATACTCGAAAAGAGTTTAAATATCAATTATAACCCTGTAGTACATTATAATTCACCTTATACTGATAATGTCAATATTTTAGGCAAATTGTACGAAAACTTAAATCAGACACCGAACAAAATCAATGTTAAATGTTGCAAACAAATGGCTCAAAGCAAAACAAAAATGACAGTACTTAATCCATATTACTTAATCCATACTACACATCTGTCATTATCGTGACATCGTCATCTTTAAAAAAATGTTTCGTTTAGAAAATACAATGGAGGTATAATTAGCCAACTCCCACCTGTATGTAGGAAACTTAAGCGTGATGAGCAATGCTGCAAAATGTTTTTACATTCGAGTAATCAATTTTCTACAATTCTTACATAATTATTTTAATGGACCTTAATTCTTATTTCAATAATATCGTTCTTTCTCTATAAGATGAGATAATGTACAGTCCATATATCTATTATGTCCATATGTTTTTTTAAGGAATATTTAAAATCGTTTTGTTGGCAAAACAGTTATTAAGTTCATAATAAACATGTGATTAAGTTCTCTTTACTGTACAAACATATTCTTACGAAGCACAATAGCTGCGTTCAGTGGACTCAACAGTTGAATGAGTGCTCGCTTCTATTGATGTATTCTTCCAGATATAAAATGCTGATTGGATGATCTAAAAGAATACACCAATAACAATGAGGGCTCACTCAATTATTGAGCCATTCTTACATTTTGCAACACAAAATTGTGAAGTCGCAAAATATAAGAATGTGTTCTTTGAAACTCAACGTGTTTCATCGTGTAAAAGAAAATTTAGAAATAAAGTTCTGAAACCCAGAAATTATCAAAGAATGCGATTATCACGTACAAAGGGAGTATGCATAGAAAATAAGATAGTATTTGAAATGTTATTTAGATGGAGACGGTATGTCACAACCCCTGATGCAGCCGTATCCTCTATCTCCAATGTCAGAGAAATTGATGGATCAACCAATACCTTCCGAATCAACGTAAGTCCTACTCTCTTTTCTGTATAAATATGTATTTTCTGTATAAATACATACACACACACGCGCGCGCACAGGGTATGTTTCCTCTAACTTGATAATTTAAAATATATCCGATGTTTTTGAATACCTATATTAAAAACAATAAAAATGTATCCTTTTTGCCTAGGAACATACGATCACGCAAAATTGAGCTCCGTAACACCTTCCCCCCTCCCTTACTTAAGGACGACACGAAACGAGGCTCATCCATAGACATAGTATCTTTAGACCAAGCGTCAGAAATATGAGGAGTGAGGGAATCCTCATTTAGAAAAGGACGCACTCTTTTCGTCTAGAGTATCTATAATAAGAGTACGGTCAATAGAGCGTGTACGACAAATCCGGAAACGCATCGAAACGCGCATTTTCATATGTGAAGTGTAAAACTGAGGCTATGTTCAAAAATTTACTGCCAGTACTGAAAATCTATAGTGCATGTAAGTAAACTATAGATTTTCAGTACTGATAATAAATTTTGGGCACCAGAAGTATAAAACTAAAATTGTACATACAACAATGGGTGCGTTTAGCAGAACGCATCCGTGTTTTTTTATGAATGTCTGCTCTGAGATAAAACCATTCTTCTAGGTTTAAAAATGTAACTCAATCAGCGCAAAGAAAATTTCCAACAATTGCAAAATAAATATTCTGTTGAACGCAGAGGGGGAGAGCCAATAATTTTATAATGAATAAATTAAAGAAGAATGACAACAGAGGTAAATAATTCTTGAGGCTTCCACGGTACTTTTTATATAAAGATTATGCATTTCGCGGGTTTTCTCCGTGTCCAGATCCATTGGAATACCAACATTTCGAGAATCTTGCAGTCCGAAAGTATAGAGAAGCCATAGAGATACAAAAACAATCTAAATAGAGATAATGGCTACAACATAAATAAAGTATGGAAAACCATTCTCCCACTTATTGAAGATTGATCAATTTCTCTCATCTCTCCTCCCACCCCCCACCCCACCTCTACTCAAATTCTCTTCTTTCCTCCCACTCCAACAAGTAGTGTAATATAAAAAGAACGACCCGAAGGAACAACTCAGTATCAGATTGCTCTTCGCCTTGATGAAGTGGGCTGCAAGGTTCATGAAACGTTGGCATTCCAAGAATGGATCTGGACACGAAGAAAACCCGGATTATGCAAAACGATTATGAAATAATCTTTAAACAGAGGTAAATATAAATATAGAATGAAAATTAAATTTGTTTAAAAATAAATAATATAAAAATGAATAAGATTTTAAAATAAGATTTTAGAAGTATTAATTATTTTTTTAAGAGTATATTTAACTTTTTATTAGGTATATTTATTATAGTACTTTATTACAGTATATATACAATTTGTCAATTTACATCCAATATTATCAGTGACGATACAATTGCAATAATAATACAATAATACAAAGTAATAAATCAATATATCCTATATATACCTTCCTGTATATTCTGACGAGTTCACCAAACACAGTTGGAATAGTATTAGGTGCGCAACTAAGTTCTCGCTGTTATTTTGATGAAAATGCAACTTTATTGTGAAAAAATGGTTACAAATGAATCATTGAAAGTATTGCCCATCGCTAGCTACTACTTTTTCCTATCATTCTGGCAGAGCTCGTATACCATCACGATAAAACTGTTCACTTACTGCTGGAGCCATCTGTTGATAAACAGCGGGAACTTAGTTGCGTATCTAATATCTTTTTTCAATATACGCTTGCCGTTTCCAGTCTTTGATTCAGTTCACGTTTCTGCATTAAAATGTACCTGAAATAATATACAACATACATCATTTAATAATTTATTTATATTTAAAAAACCGTGGATACTTTTTAGATGACCCAATATACGAGACTCTCTTCGCCGATGACTGTTACATTTCAGTTCCTCGTTCTCTCTTTCAATCCTCTCTCTCACTTTATACACATGCGCAAAACGAGAAAGAACGCACTTGGACTAAGAGTGCGTTCTTTCTCGTTTTGATATAAAGAGAGTGGCGCCAATGCATGTGTTTAATGCTGATTGGTTCCACTATTAAGTGTCCTTATTGTTAGTTAAAAAGAAGACAACGTTAAAGAAAAAAGAATTATTAAGAGGAATTATGTCATATAGATATATGATCTGGAGTATCAAGATGTAGGATGGAGTAGACACCAAATGGTGACTTCCGGTTAATTGGCGTCACTCTCTATACCCACTCTAGAGCCAAGTGAATGCGTCCTTTTCTAAATGAAGACTACCCTCACTCCTCAAATTTCTAACAAATCTCGATCTAGAGATACTATGTCTATGGATGAAACCCGCTTCGAATAGAAAGTCGTACGCCCCATGGCAGGAGGAATGTGAAACTCGCTTTCTATTGGAGAGGAAAAAAAAAGATGAACTGGTGCAAAAGTTCAGTCAAAATGAACAAGCCTCATGCTATCTTTCCACCATGGGCTCGAAACGGGGGTGAAAGTGACTTGAAACTCACTTCGTGTGGAAAATTGTATGCCTCTAGGCGGCGAGTAGATGGAGTGAACCTCAATCCCTTCGCATGAAAAGTCATATGTCCATTAGTATATATTAGGTGTTGGAATTAATTCGTAGCGTTTTACAAGTGATGGGAAGTACTTTCATTAATGTATTTTTTAATGCTCATGTGAAATAAATAACATTCTTTCATTAAAAAACGCTACGAATTAATTCCAACACCTAATAGCAAAAAATAAGACATTATTTTTTAACTTCGTTTGTTAATAACTTTTAAATAGTAACTGCTAAAATCTTTAAAAAATGGTCATGACCTTGACATCATATGTCAAATTGGCACGGTGTTTATTAATCCGAATAATGATCATGTATTTTTTAAATGACTTTGTTTTATTGTCAGAAATAATTTAATTCAAAAGAGGAGAATCAATAAGGCTTGATTTTGACCCTCCTCAAATTTTGATGCATCTCGTTAAAATGTATTTCTCAAAATAAATTTTATTCATCTCAAGTTTTGAGCTGAAACTAACATTATTATATGATGCCTGTACATATACTGCAGAGAATATATATTACAGTATATATACATTGCAGAAATTTATATTTTCGATATGGCAGCATTATCGAATTACCTTACCGAAAAAACTAATTTTTGTTATGCTATATATATACAGAATGATCTGAATCATATTAAAAGATATAATTTTTTCTGCATTTGATGCCGACAGTTATATTAACATATTGGAATCTGAAATATAATGCCGATAAAGTTCCAAAATGATTAATATTGTCCCAGCAAATGAGAATGGATTGAAATGGATTCAGATTTTCAAAAATATGAATTCATGAATATTAAAATGAATCTTTTTTAATCGTGAATGAATTTTTATTCATTTATAGGAATTGCATAGAGCATATCTCTATGTCTTTCAATCTAAAAATAATATTAGCATTTTCTGTGCATTGTGAATACTACTCAATTCAGAATTGTGAATGTAGAAATTTAATTGTACTCTCATCGACTTTTCGATCTATCGACGAAATCTCGAGTCATTGGCGCATGCGTAGTCGGGAGTGGGAATTAATATCGATATCGAAGATCAAAAGGCGAAAGAAAAGGCATGAGTTTGTGTTCGACTTTCCGACATGTAACAATTAACTGATAATCACATCAGTAAACTATTGTAATAAGCGACAATTGTCATCAAATAAATTATGTTAAGTAACCAAGTGAAGTTTATTTAAACTCTGATAATATTTATCCATAAGCAATCAAACAATAATAATTAACAGTGAATAAGAAGTACAGTTTCTTTAATTCAGTTAAATTCAAAAATAATATCAGCAATTTCTGTGCAACGTGAATATTGCTCAATTTCATATTCTGAATATGAAATGCAGTTTTTCGATCTAATTGAATAAAAAAAGTTTTGATTTAAAAATGAACCATAAATGCTATTTAAATTATTCAAAATTATAAGTAGGAAATTTTTCATTTTAATCCAATTAAGTTAAAAAAAGTTGTAACGTAAAAATAATTAAGCTATGTTCTTTTATTTCTCTTGGATTAGAAGTAAAATGAATGATCGATGTGAACACTCGCAAACCAAGTCGAACACAGCTCGAATAGACTAATCACGGTGCGCGACATCGGCCAAATGAGAGATTAGATTATTCGACACCCAATGTTGTCTCATAGTAATGTAAATTGTTTATATTTTATTATATTTGTTAAATGATGATATTTGTATTATATCTATATAATTTCGTTACTAGTTTAGCTAGTTGTAATTGAAGTAGAGAATGAATAACACATTTGAAAAAGTGGTGTAGCGGGTAACGTAGAAAATTCAATCATAATCCAGAGGTCCCAGGTTGGAACCTCACTAAAGTGCGTTTTTTAATACCAATTTGAAATAGTTAATTAATTTCAAATATAATTATTATAAATGTCTTAGGAATACAATTTGTAACTCTTAAATATGAATTTTTTCACATATTAAACTAGTATCAGCTTGGATTCAATCCATTTTCATAGATTTAAAGTACGCATTAAAAAAATTTTAATCCATTCTTATTTGCTAGGGTATAAACAATGAGCAAATATTACTTTGCAAGCTGTTGTGTATGTGTGTGTGTGTGTGTGTGTGTGTGTGTGTGTGTGTGTATGCGTGCGTGCAGATCAATTCAGTTCGCTCTGCCTACTCACGAAAAATGATTCCATGATGGAAGAGATAACATAGTGTGTGCAGTTGGACAATCTCTTTCTAAATTTTTGCCCTCTCTAAGGACTGTTTATAAGGAGGAAGAGCTACCAACTACTGTGAAACGCTAAATATGGGGCGGTATTCATAGTCTGTTCTTATTTTAAAACTGTCTTAAATAATCTCTTAAAATGCTAATACAGTCTTCGGATTGACATCTTAAGACTGTATTTAAGATAGTCTTAAATGCAAGAATCAACTATGAATACCAACCTGTTT